AAGATGAATATTAAGGGTAACGCCTAGCAGTTTTAAGCTGTTTCGGCTCGTTCGTGCAGCTGCAAAGCCTCTGGGACAGAGTTGAGGAATTACCTGGTTCTGGTTTGTGAATGTGGAGCCAAAATGATTTTTCGGCTCTGCCTACGAAATTGTTGGCTCTACAAAGATATTCGCCTTCATCTCGTTTGGTCACATTGAACAGATTTAGCTTAGCATCGGCTTCAGCGTTTTTACTGATCCAGGACTGCAGAACAGACAAAAACTTGAACTTCAGTAACCCAACAATCGCTCTCCGTCACACGTTAGACAGACAGGGCTGACTAGCTCTTACTCAGCTTGGATTTGTATGTGTGTGTGTGTGTGTGTGTGTGTTAATTTTTGGTGGAACTCCCATGTTGGAAGAGGATGGCTTCTTCTTTTTTTCCAATATTTTATTATTTTTTTATAGTCACAAAGGCTTAATATTTTATCAGCGTATTCTCTGGGTTTTAATATGTAGCTTACTAATATATGTTAAACTCCTTTCTCTCTACCTCGTTTTTCTAGCCATTGATAAAATGTATCCCATGTTCTACAGTATTCTGAGTCTTCTTTCTCTTTCATCTGTCAATTTCTGCACAATCTAAAATTTTCTTAATTATCTCGTCCTCCACCGGTAACTCATCTTTCCAATGTTGAGCAAATACAACTCTCGCTGCAGTTAATACATGTAACATTAAGTATACACATTCCTTCTCATAATTTCCTACAATTATACCTAAGAAAAATAATTCTGGCTTAAAATCGATGTATTTTTTAGTCATTTTCTCTAACCATATATCTATTCTTGACCAAAATCTTTTGGCTTTAGGGCACGTCCACCAAAGATGAGAGCAGGTGCCTGGTTTTAGGATGGCTTCTTCTTCGTGCAGGAGTCCACCCTGAAGCCCTTGAGAGGGAGGTGGTGGCCAAGTCTCCTGCTTGGACATGTCCAGGAGGGAAGGCCCATCTGCTCTCCACTCCATGAGTCTCACAACCCAAGTCTTTTTGCTCCTGAACACCTTCCCCCAACTGGAATCTGCTTCTTAATCCCTTGAATCCAATTTTTTCCTTCAAATTCTGCACTCTCGCATGACTTTCTTCTCTGAAGGATCCTATGTAGATATCTGAAGAGGGTTACCCTAGCCCCCCCCCCACGCCTTCCCTTTCCAAGGCGAAACAGGCCAACGCAACTCTTCAATGTCCTTCCACAGCCACCCATTTCTAATCTTTTCTTACCCTCACCGTCTTTCTTTTTTTTAAATCATATTTAATAAATAAAACACAAAGAAAAGTCTTTCTCTAAACTGGTCCTAGTCTGCTTTAATCCCTCGTGACGTGGGGTGAACAGAACTAGACCCAGAGCTTCAAGAGAGGTCTGGCCTGCACAGAATAATTTTTTTAAAAAAAAATACTTCTATTGTACACCTGAAGATCGCATTTCCCTTTTTTTGCTGCCCTATCATAGGTAGGTAATCCCAGACTTAAAACCGTTAGTTTGAAGTTGTATCAGCACTGAAAAAAGGGACTTACAACCTGTCCTTGCACTTACAACCATTGTAGCATCCCCGGGGTCACGTGATCAAAATTCGGACGCTTGGCG